ATGTGAACTCATTTCTAATATCCACACACCTACCAGTTACGGTATACTTTTTTTTAAGGGGTACTCAAATTATTAGTCATATAAGAATCAAAGAAATTCACCGCTTTGAGAAAACAACAGCAATTCCAGCGGTTACAATTATAAAATCATAAAGACACGGGAAATATATGGTCATATGCAAAATTCGTGTTGATCCGTACAGTATTTTTGGAGATATTGGTTAAAGTGTGAGGTTACCTGTTTTGAAATGCATTGTAGCTGCTGCTGATGCTGCTTCGGCTGCTACTACTACTACTACTACTACTACTACTACTACTACTACTACTACTACTACTACTACTACTACTACTACTACTACTACTACTACTACAACTTTACTACTAATAACGCTGCTGGTTTTACAACTACTATTACTATCACTGCAACTATCAATGTTGCTATCGCACTATTACTGAAACTGCCACAAGTGCCACAATCACTGCTGCAGCACCATCCGTTTAGAATTTGCATGAATACTTTTGCAATCTATTGTTGCTGTTTTTTTACCAGGCTGTCTAATTTTTTGCATGCAACATATGAATATTCATGACACAACAATAGTGCTATTCTTTAGTCCATATATGCTTGGGATTGCGCTAATCACTCAGTTTCTTTGATCTTTACGACTGAAAGTTTAGATTTTGCAGTAATCAGGTAAATCTTTAATTCAGTTTGTTTCAGAGGAGTATCTTCATAATACATTGATAGATGAAGTAAATTTATTTGTTGTCATTTATGTTAGGTCCTAAACGTGTCTCCAATATGCAACAATTAGTTGTCACCTTCGAGCACCACTGTACCCCAGGGTATATAATAGTAGCCACATTTGGATGTGGAAATGTATTTGTCGCCATTGTGGAAAAAACTAACAAATTGCTGATATTTAACCACTCATCAAAAACTGGTTTGAATCATTTCGAATCTGTCGATTTCAAGAGGTTGATAATTGTTATTGGCCGAACGAATTGTAATCCATTGTCATGGATGTTTGGAGTAAGCAGACACAATTTGGTACACATCACAATGATGCCCGCATCTCGCGGATTGCGACATTTCGTGCCGACTTCCATTCATGCCGTGGACGTTTATCATGGGCTGTACTATGTTGTAGGGGTGTTAGGATATCTTTTCTCTCGCCTCTGCAGTCTATACACATCGTACGCGAAAAAACGACACCCGTTCGTTCGTGTGGTCTCCAGCGGAAAGTCATGGTATTTCCTTCACTTCTGAAATTTAGTTTCGTTCTATAACTTTTATTTACAGCTAACATAATTATAAAACGAAAAACAACTCACAAAGTCGGGCCCAGAGAGACCGTGATTAGCCGTTTGTTCATGGGTAGTAGTCTTTAAGACGCGTTAGTAAAAGCTAAAGGGATGTCAGGTTATTTTCTGCTATCTATATTTTGTCGGACGGACAGGTACACTTTGTGTTTCACTCTCTGTTCTGAAAGACTGCGTATATCCTGGATTTCTCAGACTTCGAGTTGTAAATTAATGTCCTACGGTTTTGAGAATTGACGGCCGACAAGGAGAGGAGAATTGATTTTCCGCGGGCCTATCGCAAAAGGTAAACACTTCTAAAACTACGGCACGTAGGGTGCAGTCTCTCATGGGACGTAGGCTGAGCTGTTTGGGGTGGTGAGAGGGAGGGGGTTGTTAGGGCCAGTTCTAAATATTCTGGGGTCGTTGAAGCCGGTCACATCCTGCAATATAGACCACGTTTGATAGCCGGAGCGAGGACAAAATTCAACCTGACATCCCTTTAACTTAGACTAACCTGTCTCAAATGTTACAAGGCATGAACGAACGGCCAATCAGGGTCTTCCTGGGCCTGACTTCATGAGTTGTACCAAAAAAGGTTGCCAGATTCATTAATATCCTCCACAAATGAGCTGGCTTCAAGAATTATAAAACTGTCAACCTAAATTTTTGAATTTAAAAAAAAAAAACTGTGAATTTTAAAGCCGACTCACGTGCACCTAATCGTAAATAGGCGAAGGCTAATCGATAGAAAAGTCACAATCAATTAACGATATCTACAGACATTAATAGTTAACTAATGTGTAGTCCATCATATGTCTGCCAGTCCGTGATATGTGTGTACACAGTATATACTTATAGTTTTGTGAATATGTCTTAAGTATCGATAGTAAATATAAAAAGTTTCCTGAAGAAATGAGTCAACCTAACCACCCAAGATGGAGAGAGAAATGATGCTGTCATTCAGACTGTGCGTACACTGTGAGAAATTTTTTTAGAATCAAAAAATCAAATGGTTTGTTATCTCTTTAGAAGGCAACAACAATAGAAACTATAAAGACATAATACACGACTCATTAAAAAAATCTGATTTGACAACAAAAGGGCGCTCGAAAAATAACATTAATTGATGACAATAATCAGTCATACAATTCGAGCAGTGTGGCGAAAATTGCCCATCCCCACGCCTCTTGACATCGAAATTGGAAGCTGATAATAATAATTACCACAATGATAATGATGAGGAGGAGGATGATAATGATGATGATGATGTCAATTTTGTGAAATGATTTCTCCTTAGTAAAGGCCGGCTACAGTAGATCCCAAACGTCACATGCTGCCTTTTCTTTTGATGACAATCTCAAGAGAACTCCTGCCATCTCCCTAATGTTAACTTTGCCTGTGTAATGACGCCTACCTCGTGTTTGTTTTTCTTCACTTTCATTATCTAGGAATTTTTTATGTGAATGTGTAATATCTTTGTTATGGTAAAATATATGATTGTACTATTTATTTAATTTTTTTTTTGTTTTTGTTTAGTGACCATTCTCTGCAGCAACCTTTTCGTAACAATATCTAAAAATGTTTGTTTTCGTTCAGAAGACTGTCATACGAGAGATGAAGTTTTAGTATTTGGTAAGGGACTGCGATTGTTTCTTTCTGTCAGAGGCAAAAAAGAAATCCTAATCTGCACAGTTTGCGGTCTCAAATCCTCAGGCTCATGACCCTTCTGTCCTAAAGTGTTCCAAATGTAGTAAATACTGACACAAACTAATTTGTCCCTGAATAGGTAATGCAGGTTGGGCATGTCAAATTCTCCCACTGACTAGCAACACGCAATGGCTACACTATTGTGGACGAACAAATAAAGCAAGCGAGAGTTCATTCAATACCGAGGCATCTCTTTTTGAGGGCATGTTTGCAAGCTGTACGTTAAGATAATGTAAAGGACATTTGAAAACATAATCACGTTTAGCAATGTGTATTTTAACCTACAGCTATGTCCTATATTCGTGCCAGTATTAGAACTACCTGTTACACATTAGTACCCGGTTGTTTAACAGTAACACGTGTTGGATATCTGACCCACTGAAGGCTAAGTAAAATTACCGTAAAGTAAAGAGTTCTGTTTTGTAAACTACAGTAATTGTATATTCTCTTTCTTTTCAGATCTTCATGCGCTCGCATCACACCGGAATAATCGAATCGTCTGGTTACACTACCTCCTCGCCAGCAATAACACGGAATCAATATTATGCATGGATACTTAGCATAGTGTTGCACTGAAGTAGCATCTTATTGGCTCCGGGAGTAAAAGGAGCCATCTGATCTTGAGTTCTGCCAGCCAGCTTTTCTCCCAGTTTTGATTTCATGTTTTTCTTCTCGCATTTCGTTATTGACACACAGAGAAAACATATCTCTTACCAGTGGCGAGAAGAGACATACTTAGACATAGGGCGTATTTATTCAGCATGATGATAGCAAGCTTTGAAATAATTAGTCGGTATTGACTGAGTTACAGATTTTTTTAGTCGTCACTATTCCAGACATTTTGTTCAGCGAGCAGTTACTGTGATATTTCAGTCAAATGGTTTAACTAGCTGGATAGCGGTTCATTTAAATGCCATTTGACTGTTGGCTGTAAGCATCTGCTACCTAAGGCATGTGATGTGGTTGCCTGGTATTATCTTCCACAATCACCTGTTCCATGGCTAGAAGTGTTTACTATCTGCACCAATTTTCTCTCCCAAAAAGCACAAAAAGCTGACGTTGTGGGGTAGCGTTTGTAATCACCCATTAAAGCAAAACAACAATAATCCAGCCATTGAACATTGCATGCAGCACCCAAAGTCAAGAGCTTGAGAAATGGCAATTATTACAGTAAAAACAGCTTTAACTAGGAGCAACAGAAATCAATAAAAAATGATCTGCTCACAAGATAAATACTACAACAATTAAGATTATATGAAAATAATACACATCCAATATCATCTAATGAAGAGAGCTGCTATTGAAAAATTCCCTTGAAATCATCACACCAAGTACAACAAACACTTCATTGTGAATTTCAAATGTGCTGTTCTGTCAGTTATTTCTTATGTACATTTAATTCTTGTGAGAATTCTGAATATAAATGCCAGAAACAAAAACAAAAAGGAAGCAAAATTAAAATGCCCATAAAGATCAAAATGCCAGCAGGAACAGGGAGTTTATTTCAAAGTTGTTGATATACGTTACACAATAGCTAGTGTTTTGCGTAAATGCTTTTTATATTTTAATTCGCATTCATATTGTTAACTGTAGGAAGATTGTGTAGTATCGCTGTGGCTTTTCTTTTGAGGCATAAAGTAACATATCAGCCTATTGATAATGTCAGACCATGACATTTGTGTGGTGGTTATCAAACTTACGTAGCGACGGAAGCTGACAAGGCTGGCCAGACAGCTTTTCACAGTGTATTTTATTTTCATGAAATAATTAATCTGTGAGGAAAACTACCACTCAACAAACGTGCAGTCATAAAAGGAAGTCATGCTCATCACCATTAACAAGAAGAAACTAAAGTGCTAACTGGGCATACTAGACTATGCAGAAAAGCAAATGTATCAACTGTTTACATTTATATCCAAGATCTCCTAGGATATCGTCTGCTCACGAAGTCCATGAATCCGTGATTCTGACGCTCGACAACGTTCGTACATGCAAAACATCACTCTCACTACCTCATACGCTTTCCACCTGGAGCCGGAAGTTGTTACTTCCACCTTCAATGGTACAGATAACGAGAGTAGCTATAGTTTCCCCAGCTTCTCACCTCCTTTTGACAACACTACATACATTAACTCAACGCTGGAGAAACGCCTGTACGAGCTGAAGAACCCAGCTATTGGCGTTCTCTTGGCTATGTTTAGCTGCATCGTGGTCGTCGGGAACATAATGGTCATCATTGCGGTGGCTAGGGAAATTTACCTCCGAACCGTTACCAACTACTTCATAGTATCCCTGGCCATCGCTGATGTCATGGTCGGTGGCGTTGTTATGCCTTTCAGTATCAGTAATGAAATGACCAGCTCCGTTTGGCTGTACGGTCAACCATGGTGCGATCTGTGGCGATCGCTGGACGTTCTGGCTTCTACAGCATCTATTCTTAACTTGTGTGTGATATCATTAGACCGTTACTGGGCTATCACGGATCCCATTGCCTACCCTAGTAAATTATCAAATAGCAAAGTATGTATACTTATAGCTCTTGTGTGGTTCTGTTCTGCGGGTATATCATTCCCAGCAATCGCCTGGTGGAGAGCAGTAACGCCGTCAGATTACTCGGTTCATCAGTGTTTATTTACAGAAGATAGTGCGTATCTAATTATATCCTCTGTTGTGTCGTTTTATATTCCAACAATTATTATGATGTTTGTTTATTGTAAAATATACAGGGCTGCCTTAGCCCAAACTGAGGGAATAAAAAGTGGCTGTAAGATAACTTCTGACTGTCCCAAAGGAGATAACGGAGAAGTGATGACATTACGAATACACAGAGGAGGTTACAGGTTAAGAAATGAACCTCATCCAACAGGTCTTGGGTTTGACCATCGATCCAGTGACAGCGAGGAGGAAAATACTATCAACTCCACGCGGCATCATATATATCATAACAATCATCATCAACAGCGTCCAACGACCTGCATAACCAAAAAGATTAGACATTTTGCTATCAGTAAGAAACTCACAAAACTTGCTAGGGAGCAAAAAGCGGCAAAGACACTGGGAATTGTTGTCGGTGTGTTCATTATATGCTGGGTTCCCTTTTTCTGTGCAAACATTCTCTACGGTATATGCCACGAAGAGTGCGTTTACAAACCAGATATTCTCTTTCCAGTATTCACATGGCTTGGTTATCTTAATTCAGGGATGAACCCTATTATATATGCTCTATCCATGAAGGATTTCCGAAGAGCTTTCAGCAAAATGATATTCTGTTGCCCTCGCTACAGGCATAAACAGGCCAAGAGACATGCATACAGCCAGGCCAACAGTCTATCCACGTCTAGTTTTTCAGTCAGCTGTGGCGATCGTTGTGTAGCTCTTCGAATTTAAAATGTCACAAACTGTTTCACTGATAATAGATGTGTGCATATGTGTATGTTTGCACTGTAAATCTACTCCATTTCACTCAGTACTTGTACAAAATGTTCAGAAATTATATTTACATCTTTAAGGCCACATCAAATAATTCATCGAGCGCATAGTGCGGCGTGTTGGCTTCCATGTTAGTTAATAGGTGTAACTCCCCTTCTTCCCCTTTAACTCTCCGTTCACGTGTTGTAAACTCCAGCGAAAAGTTATGGTTGCTTATTCACTTCTGAATTTTATTCTTTTTCCAGAACTTGAATCATGCTTGAACACCAGTTTTGCAGAGTTAGCTTACTTGTATGCAATCTGTTGGTTCCTCGCCTTTCAGGCAGATGAGAATTTAACGACATGCTCAGGAGAATTTAATGGCATGTTTTTTAGGGAGGCAGTGGGTCTCTCCCCTTCTCCACCCCCACCAACATGGAGCCCTAGACACGGCTCAGGGAAATTGGTTAAACATTTCTTTATCCCGATGGACTAGCGCTCAGTTTCCGTGCGAGTCAATGTTGTTTGGGACAATGGCAACTGTTAAAAAGTATAAAAAATGTGTATATGGTCAGCCCATTTGTAGGTTTAGAAGTAAACTATGTACTAAAGATATGGAACGAAAGCTAAATGAATAAGAAACATTCTTAAGGGAAATGACGAACGTAGAATGGAACGAATTCAAGGGAATTGAGGGGCTGAGTAAACGAGGACGTCTAAGAGAAACCATAAGGCGAACGTTGATGAGAAAAACCAAAGGTGCTCAACTGGATTCCCTTCATGATATCAAAATGATTGCTTGGGATAGAACGAAATGGAGAAATAGGCTGCGAGCCATATGCGACTTATGCATCGAATAGGACATTGTAATGTTGGTGTCAACAGTGTTCAAGGTTTAGAAAAAAAAATATTTCTAGCCGTCAAAAAAGCACAGAAAAGAAGTGAATCATTTTTTAAAAATAAAAACACACACACACACACACACACACACACAAAAACAATTAATGTCCTCAGTAAATAAGGCACACAAACCACATATCACAGAAAATGTAACAGATTTCGACTGCTTGGGTTATTTATTGAACAACAGTGGCGACTGCTCGAAAGAAGTCAGAAGAAGAAGACTTGCATTAGCAAGCCAGAGATAAAACAGCATGAAGAATCTATGGGCATCAGTAAATTGGTTAAAGTAAAAATCTCGAGATCATGCATTTTCGCTGTGGCAACTTACGGCGTGAGTCCTGGACGCAGTCACTGAGGGAAAAGATTGGAGTTTTTGAATTAAAATGTTATAGAAAAATTCTTAGACTACCATGAATCATGAAAAAGGAAAACATAGACATTCTAACCGAGTTAAACATCAAAGAGAACTGGCTCATAAACAGGATTTTGTCCCTAAAGTTAAAGTTTATTTTTGGCTACATCAAGCGTCCTGGTAGCTTGGAAAAGACGGTGATGGAAGTTGAAGTTTGTGGAAGGCGTGGTAGGTGTCGACCACCGCAAAGTTGAATACAGGACATTAAACATGCATTGACATTGAAGGTACATAGGGCCGGAGAGCTGGCGGGGGAAAGGGATACTTTTAGATGTGCCGTGAAGAGAGCGACGTTCTGTAAAGGACTTGCTGATTGATGATGATGAATGTTGGTGAAGTAATGAATAGACACGCATGTGCATGTATGCTAATGTAAATCTATGTATGCCAGTGTGCATGACAGTACATACATTTTATAGATGAATAAGAAGAAGACTCACAGAAACGGCTGCCGAGTGGCTAGAATATTGAGCTCTCATGCTGTGCAAAAGTCAGCAAGGTACATAACTGATAAGCAAATGTGTATACGTAAGAAGATGGCTGTGTGCGCATTCGTTGGCGTGCATGTCTCTTTGCGTATGCATACAAGTGAATACGACTTACATATTTTTTAAAGCCAAATACGTGGCTGGGAAGTAGTTAGAATTCTCGGATTCCTATGCGAGGGTCATCCTGAATTAGCAGGTCCATTGCAGAACGTTGCTTTTGCCTTTGCACGCGTGAAAGTCTCTTTCTCTCTAGCCAATGCTCCCTGTCCTTTGATAACCAGAGCATCGTCAGTTTCCTTATCAACCTTCACGGACGTGTTCCTCTGCCTCGTTTCCCGGAAACTGCATCCTCCATCACATTTCTCTCCAAACTACCACGACGTTTATAATGGCCAAATTACCTCAGCTTCGAGACAGGATGTTGTGTATCAGGCAATTCTCCTCGATGCTCCAATCGTTTAGGATGTAGATGTGGTGTGTATTTTTGGTTCATAGTATTCATGGTATTCTAGAAAAGAACTCTGCAATAATTCATTTCCACACCCAAAAAATCTGAATTTTGTTTTCTGTAACATTGATTGAGTAATAGTTCATGAGTTGCCACGTGAAAGATGCAGGAGCTCAAAATTCCTTACTTTTACTAACTTTCTGGTACTGTGCCGCAGATTCTTTATGCTGTTTAGTTATTGCATTGCTAAAGCGAGTATTTTTATGATTTCTTTTGTGCAGTCGCCATTGTTGTTGACTGTTGAGCCTACATATTCAAGGTCTGTAACATTTTTTTTTTTTTTAATCTTTTCGTTGTCGAAGTTAACATCTAGTTGAAATGCCGCATTCATTGTGGACATCATTTTGTTTTCTTGTTTGCTTGACTTTTTTTTTTTTTTTTGCATTGTAGTTGGGGGGAAGAGTGGGGGGGGGGGGGGGTTAAACTTACGGAAAGATTATCTTTTTCAATCTGCTTGGTTTTTTTTTTTTTTTTTTTGTCATTAAAAGCTAAGCCAAGCCCACTTTTGCAAAGGAAAGTGTGTCGCATAAAAATCCTAACAGGCACAGTTGGAGGCCCTGTAATAGTCCCACGGCTCTAAAAACTCAAACATCCACTGTCCTTCACCTTCACCCTACAAATGATTAACACTGGCGGTAAAAATGGTTTTCAAAACAAAGTCTGATGTTTGAAAATAATTAAAGCAAGCAAACAAGTAAGACGTTTTAACATATTAGTGAAAGCTATTTAGAGTATTCACTCAACAGTCAGCTAGATTTATAAATGTAAATCGTTAAAATATATTTATGAACATTTTAAAAGTATCAACACTTTTTTTTATGTTTGTGAAGGTAAAACTTCTGATTTCATTTTTTTTTTTCTTCTTCACGTTCACCGGCTGTTAACTCCAGCGGAAAGTCTAGGTTGTTCGTGTTTCTCCGGACTTTAGTCTTTTTACAGAATCTGAGTATTGTGTGCACATCCCTTTTCCGTTAAACAGATCTGGCTCATTTGTATGGAGACTATAAGTTCTTCGCCTCTTAAGCAGGTTCACTCCGACTTTGAAGGAAGCCATAAGTTAGTCGACTGCTACGACATGCTTGTTTTTCCTGAAATGGGACACTAGGACCCATGCAAGGACTTCTGATTTCGAAGGTTGGGTTACTTTTTAATTGTGTGGACCAGGCTACGATATCTTATCCACAGTTTTGACGAATATTCATTTTTGTGTGTAATATCATTGCCATGCACTCTAAAAAATGCAAATCAAACGATTGCTCATATTTCACTATTTCAGGAATTTATTAAACACTATGTTGTGTATATATATATGCATGTACATATGCAACTTGCATTCTTTCAAAAACTCTCTTTGCGTACTCAGCATAGACTGCCCAGCTATGTGACTCTGTAATTTATATTGACATTGAAATATTGATTCTCAAACGCACAAACACCTATACTCGATGGTGAGCGCATGAGCTGTTAGGTGCAGCATTGATTATTGGCAGGCGGCAGATGTTATTTGTGTTGGATGTTCTTGTCTGTTATGTAGAGCATGTGTCCTGTGTATTGAGCTTATAATTATAACAACCACAAGATCGGTATCACAAGTGCGGTAATACAAGGATTAGTAAGTAAAGTATCGCAATGATTAGTAAGTAAAGTAAGCAAAGGGCTCTTTTCACGCTAATAGCTTCTAAGGCATGTGATGCTAGATTCAAATTTCTATAGACCAGTCGGCACTTGATGAGACTCGATGAGTGATGTAGTCAAAATCACACAAGACACTTTCACTTTCCAGGACTTTACCTGCAACCATTCTAGGTTGGGTTGACCTTGTAGTTATTGTAATCATTGACCACATTTGGGAATCTATACGGATTCGAATCCAAGACGTCCAGACCGGCAGGCAAAAGTTTAGCTCCTACGACACCGCAGCTTCTAAAGGGACTGTTGTTCAATAAATATACTAGAATGCAATAGCTTCGAATCCTAGTTGTAGAGGAATATGTTTTAAAGCCACGTGAAAATCGGTAATGAGCACTGCCTTCTTAAAAAAAATCACACTTATTGTTTTGAAAAAAAGGTCACACACACACACACACACACACACACACACAACAGAACTGACCGCACTGTTCATAATTTATTGCCATGGCGTATGTTGGATACACACGGTTAACTCTTTCAGTGCGAAGCAAATGTTTAACATTATTTATTCTAAGGAAGTGTTAAACTATCTCATAAACATTCAAGCCTGAGAAGTTAAAATTTATGTGCTATATTATATAGAATTGGTAACAAATAAATGACAGTTTGGATAGACCTGTTTGGTGCAGCACTTAGATGACGCACAAAGAGTTCAGGAAAGTATATGGTACCAGCTGGAACTAACAACGCCTGTTGAGTTGCTTTGTATTGAAAAAGATAATATATTTCAGACAGAATCTGCCACGGGGTTGTCTTATCATTTATTGAGAATTGCAACAGTGTCTCCCAACAGGTACAGTACTGTATTTCTCTGCTCTCATTTGAAAGCATTGTGTCTGTGTAGCATCTGTTTTATACAGTTTGGGAAAGAGGTCAATTTCGTTATCTTTATTACATGTTTCTGACGTGAAAAAGGATTCTACGCAGAAAAGCTCTCGGGATAGACGGAGAAACCAAATCGATCAAATTATGAAAG